TGATGCATGCAAATATCCAATGGATAAACTTATTCTAGCATATATGAAGCTTTTAAATCACAATTTTATGGTGTGTTAGCATGAGGTATTCAACATCATAAGCACAAATCTTTACATAAACATGTTGGTGCATGCAAATACCCAATGGTTAAACGAAGCTTGACTTGTATCCCCCCCCCCCCCCCCCCCCGGAAAAGCATGAAAAACATGAGGGTATGAAGCTCACCTTGCTGATTTCGTGAGTTGTAGGAAGGAAATGAGGGATATGTCGAGCCTAGACTTGTACACACTTGAAGAGCTTCTCGAAAACCAAGTGTTCCAAAGAAGTATACATGAAAATGTGTAAGCATGGTGGTGCTATTTCTTGGGCAAGCAAGAAACAGACATGTATAGCTCATTCAACGATGAAAGCAGAGCTAATTACCTTAGCAGTAGTGGGCAAAGAGGCAGAGTGGATTTGAGATCTACTTATGGATATTCGTCTGTGGGATATTCAAGTGACTACAATACCCATGTACTATGACAGTAAGGCCACACTGTTTGAAGTATATAATGCGGTATATAATGGGAAGTCGAGACATGTAGGTCTGAGACACAATTTTGTGAGACAACTAATTGAAAGTGGTACCATAAAGGTTGTCTATGTCAAGACAACTATGCACTTGGCAGATCCATTTACCAAACCTTTGACGAAAGATTTGGTTACAACTACCACGAGAGTCGTGGGTCACTACTAGAAAAACAGCCTTTTATGATGTGCAATGCGTGTCATAAAACGCTCAGACGACGCGTAAATACGTGTCAAGGAAGGCCCTGTCATAACGAGAGGCGACACGCTTTTGTGCATCGTCTATTTATGACGACCATTTATGACACGCATTTACGACGCGCAGCTGTGACACGCAATGCGTATCAAGGAAGGCCCTGTCATAAAGGAAGACGACACGCATTTGCGTGTCGTAACCTTACGACGCACGTGTTTATGACACGCAATGCGTATCAAGTAAACCCTTGTCATAAATGAAGATGACACGCATTTGCGTGTTATAAACTTCAGTAACCATTTACGATATGCATTTACAACATATCTTTATGATACTCATTTACGCATAATACACAAATATATAAACAAATATATACCAAAACAATCAATTTCATTCAATAACATCATGTCAAAAAATTGTAATACATTGATATTAAGAGGATCTAATTGTATATTGTTATTAAGAGGTTTTCCCTAACTATATAACCTAATACTACATTGCTATTAAGGGAATCCTTCTGCAATGTAATGCCAGACAAACTAAAAAGATATACACAAATATGATAAACATCAAATTCTAACTAAATAGAGTTGCATCTTGCCTTTCATAATTCTTTAAGACTAATGAACCTCTGCTCCGATAATTCTCATGATCTGATCAAATAAAAGTCAAAAAATTAATATGCTAATATAATTATTAGAAGAATCAAACATGAAATGTTAGTTGTAAAAGATAAAATAACCCTTTTCTCCTTCCAAAGAATGTGATACCGCGCTTGAGATATGAAATTTGATCCATGTGGTGTTCCGGGATCCACTAAAACCTGCTCTACATTGAAAATATTTGCATAAGTGTGTATCGATAGCAGATAACTTTGTAATATTCAACCATTAAATGTAACGAAGTTAATGTTTTTTACTATACTATATAGCTCGTTATCTAAACAAGTACAGAAAAAAGTACAGAAAACATGAGAATTTAATAATAACAGATGGCAAACGATCCCAAACAAGGCGATCATCAATTGGTTTGAGATGATAATAAGAGGATCCATCATGTTGGTCTATGGTTTAATTAGCCATCGTACCTATTAACATCAGTATTTAGAAATATCCAAAATACACACAGCCAAAAAAAAGGAAAATGGCATAAATTTAATGTTAGTTCTGATAAGTTTATCCGAACAACAGAATGTCCGAAGAATTTTAAACACAGTAAATTAAAATTCAAAAAGATACAATGCATAATAAGATACAAACAAGTAAGAACATTCATATTCAAACATTTTGGCATGAATGATTTGAACTAGGTTGACACAAATGTGGGGCGTATAGCTGTAAGACTCGGATGGGTACCCCTGCAACCGCTTCCCGAGTCTCTCCAATTGCATCTTTTAGAATTGTAAGCACTAACTAAACATTTTGTAAAACTATTAATTAAAATTCAAAAAACTTTCTCATTTTTTTAAAACTAATACTTAGATTTCTACACAGGTATCCAGTTTTGGAGACGATTCAGCAGTACCTATAGCTACGACTTTGCAAGCTTGACTAAAGAACTTTGTATACCAACTGTTTTCATGCATTAACATTTAATAACTAATACTATGCATATAAACATTAAAAAATTAATTAATTAAAAGTCTCCATTTATTCACAGGTATGAACTACATTACCAGATGATTACATTTAGAAAGGGCATTTATGTCTTTTCCTCCACAATCAAAGTTTTAATTATAATTTTGAACTATAGTGCAAGGCTAAGGTTACCAGCGCCAGAGGGGAGTGTAGCAAGTATAACAGAAAAAAAAAAACTTGGCAAAAACTAATTGGAACGTCAGATCAACCTAATGAACAACAACAACAACTATCTGAAGTCCAAAATTGCAGCCCTGTTATTGATCAACCTAATGAAAAATGAGTATTGTGAGAATAGTTTGTTAGAAAGTAAGGGTAAAATGGTCATTTAGTCTCATTCAAATGGTTTATTCAGTCTAGAAAAGAAACATGCATCATTATTCATTCAACCACTTTACACATACAGGACTTAATGGGGAAAAACATGAAACAACCCCTAAGTGTCGCAAGCAAGAAGATTTAGAAAGTGGAAGAGGAATCAGATAGATACAAACACGGATATTTCTTGCATATATAACATGTTATTAAAGTTGAAAGCCAATATAGGAATAATATAACATACCCCTTCCCTAAATGCAATTCAAACTTCTCTTGTCGTTTGTTTTTCATTTGGAGTAAGAAGCACCAGATACCTGACCTAAGATTCCCAAAAAAAATAATAATAATAAAAACATTAAAAAGAAGCAAAGAATATGACTTTGCTCCATGTCCATCTATCACTTACTTCTTTGCCATCTGGATTTCTCATAACTACACCATCAACAATAGGAGACTTCCTTGCCTCAACATGTGCATATTCTGGACCAACAGTATACACATATACCACAAATACAATCCATATGTCCAGAACAATTACACAGGAAAATAAAAATAAAATAAATGTTCAATCAAGAATTTAAGCAACCTTAACATCTGTTCCACCAGTTGGCATAAATTCCATATATATATATATATATATATATATATATATATATATATATATATATATATATATATATATATATATATATATATATATATATATATATATAAGAGCCCTCATGTCTCACTCTTCTAACCTCTGGATGAAACTCACTTGATCTATTGCAACCTGAAAGACACCTCTTGACAATTTAGTTGATAGTAATTATAAATTAAATACTTAATACACATAGCAATTATAAAAAACTCACCTTTCTAAACAATTCTTTCGTACCACCCCCTGCTGCACTTGGGTAATATATCATTATGTTGTGAACATCACCTTTAAACAAGGAAAAACAGAAAATAAATAAAGGATAGTTAGATATGCATACCATGAACAAGCTTCTCTACAAAAGGCTTCCAAAATCGCTGCCCATGAACCTCAACAAAATCTTCTTCCTCAACAAAATACTCCAAATCTTGATATGGTTTGTCCCTATTTACTAATGCATATCTTGGAACTGGAATTCCATACATTTCCAGGTACTTGCTGATGTTTAAAATGAAACCAGAAGAGAGAGAGAGAGAGAGAGAGAGAGAGAGAGAGAGAGAGAGAGAGAGAGAGAGAGAGAGAGAATCATCATTAGTAATTGGGAAAGTTTTGTTGTTTCTTGCCCATGGGCTAACCTGCTAATGAGAGCAGTTTTGCCTGCGTCAGCTAGACCATAAAGAAGAACATACCACCTCTGATATATAGCTCATTAAGTGAAAAAAAATGACACCATCATAAAATCAGTAGTTACTAGAGGTGAAAAGATAATTTGAAATCATATTGTAATTTTTTATCCCCTGTCCATTAATCGCGTAATTCACCCAATTTTATTTATTATAATAAGCATATAAATGAAAGTGCATTGTTGTCTCTTGAATTTAACCCTTTTTGAAATATAGAATCTGAAAGATTACATACCACACTTTGGGCATAACGGTCATTTCGTAGAACAATTGCAGGGTGTAGAAGAAACTCTTCGTTTGAATCAGGCACTTTCACCTTGATTGCCTTAATAGACTTTTCATACATCACAACAATTGATACTGTGAAAAAAGATGATTATTCCATGTCACCATTCAGGGAAATAAATTAAAAAACATTTTGGAATAAAATAAATCCAACATACCTTGTTGACGTATCTGGCCTAGAATTTTGTGGGTTTCCTGCACTAAGGTTCTTAAGTTGGAAAATGTTGAGTTATTTGACAATGATTTAGTGAAATATTTTTTTTCAGGAAAGTTGCTTGTTGCTGGAGGATTTGATGTTGAATGAATGTGTGGTAAGACAAAGCTGATCTTCTTTGTATTTCATGTCCAAACCTTAAGCAACTGACAATTCTTAACTGTTGTAATTACTACTTGTGTGGTTGTCTTAAGCTTTCTTTCCCAAAACTGTTGTATCTAGAGTTATTAGGTGAAGCAGCTTCAAGTTATATCTTTGAATGTCTATACTCATTGAAGGAAGCTACACTTTATCCCAAGTGCAACGCCATATTTAATAAGTTGTTTCATGAAGTTTTTCATTTGGAATCATTTGCTACTAACCTTGACTTCTTGCCCGAGGTAATTGTTTATTCTCTTCATGAACAAATTGTTATTCCAGCTAATACAGAAACAACGACTTAATAGAGGAAATAAAAAAAAATTACCTTTGCATATGAAGAGTAATGGCCACCACCAAGTCCCCCATAATGATTGTTGATAGCATACAATTAACATTAGACCCACCAGAAGCAGACGTTTCTTCAGTTTTCACATATTTGCTTAAATCCAGATTGTGAATTGGAAAATTCACAAACGTGTCTAGTTTGTTCTTCAAGAATCTGTTGTATGAAAATCTTTTCAAATCGAATACTATGATATCAGGCAACCTCCATAAATCCAATTTCTTTGTTGCTTGTCTGTGCTCCTTGCAATCAGGGCAATACCTAATAGAGAATCAATAAAAACAAAATTCAACAACCATAAACAATTTCTAAAAAATTAAATAATCAAAGAATTGAATTAGCATAAAAGATAGAAAATGAATAAACATGATGCATTTTTACTTTTGCATAAAAAAATAGACTATATAACAAAGCACATTTATATGAAACAAGCATTCTTCTGCAACCTACTACACAAACCAACCAAAAAGAGAAGCCTAAAAAAATTGTAAATGCTAGAGTAATAATTGTGGAGGGGAAGGGTGGGAAAAAAGAAACAGGCAGTACAGCCAACTATTGTGGGTTACCAATGTATTATATATGACAAAAGGTCAAAGGTTTGACCTCTGTTAGTTTCTATTTAAGAAGATATTCTAATTATACAATCCATTTGGAAAAGAGAATAGAGTAGTAGTATACATTTTTCAACACTAGTAGTAGTAGTTTACATACAGCTTGACCAATTAAAGAATGACACCCACTAAGCAACACAAAATATAACCAGGCAGCAGGTGAGGTTGAGGTTGTGGTTGAAGTGAATATTATCACAAATTTGCATAAAAGAAACCATATAAATATTAGACAAATGAAATGATATCAATACCATAAACAAAAAGCAAGGCTTGGTTTTGGTACATATAAATAATAACTTGGAGGGAGGGGAGGGGGTAAAATGCAAATATAATCTAACTTCTCTTTTCTTCTCTTTAATCACCACCACTATTGTCGCCCATAAAAGTTACCCCCACCACCACCCCGTCTTGATTGAACTGAACCCCTCTCTTTGTACCTCTGGCCCGTTGCATTACCATACCCATTAGTAAGCCTCTCTATTATTACCTCGGCTTCATCATGATGATTTTTTGCTGCTACTGGCATTGCCTATATGCTCTTACTCTGACTCTTGTTATATGCTATTGGTGGTTTCTTTCCTTTATTACCACCACCACCTTCATCTTTCACAACACTTGGTGGTGGAGGAGGAGGATATTCAGGCATAAACCACCTATCAGACGGGTCCCAATCATGCATCACATTCGTTTCATATGTAACTTCACTGTTCTGGAAATATAACAGAAGATGTACTTGCCTTAGAGTTGGATAAAAATCAACACCGGAAGACAAAATAAGCACTGGAAGATGCTTCACTGGCAAGGATTTTGCAAGCGATAGCGATAACCTCGAAAGAAACCCTAAAAAATTTCAAACTTGATAGATTTCACCAAGCTAGGGTTTCAAATTTGACAGATTTCACCAGGCTAGGATTGAGATGAAAGGTGACTGGAGTTTTGAGGCAAGAGGATTCGTCTCCAGAAGTTCATAATCAATGGAGCTAGACACCACGAGGATGTGAAAGCAGTCGCGCTGGATTTCGCAATTCTGAAGAAGGTTCGCGATGATTCAGTGTTTGTAACGATGGATAGTGTTCATGTCACTGACCTATCATGGCGATGGTAGTGGTGGCTACAATTTCTCGGTAGTGGATGGCGCAGAAGTTCATAATCAGTGGAGCTAGACACCAGGAGGATGTGAAAGCGGTCACGCTGGATTTCGCAATTCTGAAGAGGGTTCGCGATGATTCAGTGTTTGTAACGATGGATAGTGTTCATGTCACCGACCTATCATGGCGATGGTAGTGGTGGCTACAATTTCTCGGTAGTGGATGGCGGTGAAGGTTTGAGAATCGAGAGAGAAGAAAGGGAGAAAGGTGGGTTTTCGGAGGGGATAAGGGTTTTCAGTCAGTGGAAACAAAGCGGGGATTTTAATTTTTGGGATTTCATTTCCCCCTTGGGATGGAACGCACGTTTCATTAAAATTTATAAAACGACATGGTTAGATGATGCACATTTTATTTAGTGTGCCCTTTGTGTTTTTTTATTATATTAGACACAAACTTTAGGGCACGCAAAAATGTGTCCTAAATCCTTTAAATTTTAGGAGAGATGACATTATCTTTACGTCACATGATTTTGTGTATCGTAAATCTGTGCGTGTCATAAATTGCATGTCATTAAAGACAATTTTTCTAGAAGTCGGTCTAAAACCACAATAGAATCACTTAGTGAGTGAAACCCAACCTGGTATTAGTGATCCTAATTCTCAAGTTTAAAGGGTAACAACGAAGTCACTAACGATAGAAGGTACTATCATTAATGATAGACCCATGTAAGGTAGGATAGTACTTCGTTTCTAGGAACGAGGTTGAGTTACGACTCTTAACAAAGTTTTGGAGACATCTAAGCAACGAAGATGCTGTAAAACTTTGCCTATATGATCTAGAGTTGGTGCCGCCTGTAACACGGTAAATTTTCAAACAAATTTTTCATTTTAAAATCACAAAAATCTCATCAACACATTTCACAAAGATCCCCAAATGTGAAATTATCAAAAACACATGTTCATAATTATTTGAATAAAATCCAGGATCCTCAAAAACATAACTCTATCTCATGTGTACAATCAAGCCGATGCTTTCCCATGATCCTGAGGAGTACCTGAAACACATAACACATAACAAGGTAAGCACGAAGCTTAGTGAGTTCCCCAAAATACCACACATCTCATGAGTCTCTCATGTTTATATCTCAAATAAGACCCTCTGGTCAATGTGTCTCAGTGCAACCCTCCGGTCCCACAACTCGGGTGGACCCTCCGGTCCTAACTAAGTAAATATGCATGTAGCATGTTTGGCTTTATGGTAATTTTATTGTTGGGGTCTTTCACATGGTCTCCATAATCACTGTCTTGACCAAACCCTAAAGTCAACATAAGTCAACACTCGAGTCAACAGTCCTTGTTGACCCGACTCGTCGAGTGCATCCATATGAATCGTCAAGTTCCCTCGTTCTTTCAGCAATGTCGCAAAAATCTGAATTAACTCGTCGAGTTGTCTCATCAACTCGCCGAGTTACTCATGTCCATACTCATCGGGGAAAACCCTAGCTGACTCGTCGATTCAGCTCTCTGACTCGTCGAGTCCCTTCAGTCTATTTTCTCATTCAAACGTTTTAAGGTAGAGTTACAACCCCAAACTCTAGATCTGGCCTCCCAATGCTGAGATACCACGTAAAGCTGCAAGTTTTACGTCCATGTATGGAACTTAGGGCTTGAAATGCCAAAACAAGTTCGATTTAGGGTCCTAAGCAAAAAATCTATACTCTAGCTTGATAAATCTTGGACTTTTAGGCTTAAGGGACCTCATAAGGTCCAGATCTGAAGTCTCAATCTCTTGGCAAGCTCAAAATACTCAAAGTCTCGAGGAAAGATGGAAAAAGCCCTAAAACTTCCTAAAAATGAGATCTAATCAAAATAATGAGCAAGATGGTGAGTTTTACCTTCAAACTGAAGCTAAGGATGGATAAACACTGGATCCAACAGTCCCTTCTCGTTTCATGCCTTGATACTCTTCTCTTCTCTTCCAAAAGTGCACTAGAATGCCCAAAGTTAGCTCTTCTTTCTCTCTTAAATCAATCTAAATGTTTAGGGTTTCACACAGGGGAGTAAGATGACATGGGATGTCGAAATGAGGGCTTAAGGTCCTTTAAATAGGACATAACCCAAGAAAATTAGGGTTTCCTCTCACAACGCCAACTCGTCGAGTTGGTCGTAAAACCCATGCGGCCAAATCCTTCTCTACTTGACGAGTTGCTCAATCAAAATCATGGAAATTATATAAATATTATACATAGGAGTCTGGATGTTACACCGCCTCAAGTGAAGATTGGTGGTTTATGTTCTAAAGGGTCATGAAAATGATTTATAGCTCATGGTTATATTAGCGAAGACGACATGTGATGTGTGGGGGTAAACCGGAGAGGTCACAAGGTTCATGGTTTAAACCTATAAGGATACGATTGAATTGGTCTCTTCTTGTTTGTGCTCATTAAAATAGGGTTTAATCTTCGTGACACCCAAGTGACATCATGTGTCTGAGTGAAAGGAAACTTTCCAACTTATAGCGGTAATCTTGGCAAGTTTCCTATATTAGTGGGGGAAGATATAGCAACATAATATTCTATCATTTCGTAGATATGGCAACAAAATATTCTACCACCTTGTAGATATGGTAACAAAATATTCTGGAAGGGTTAGAAAACGGCTAGCTTTGAGAGTAAGTCATTACCCTAGGGTTTCCAATGGATGGCCCATGTTGGCTCCTTTTTGGCCTTCTAGGGTTTCAATGCCTATAAATATAGCTCCCTAGGAGCCGTATTGGAGGCTCACGAAATTTGAAGCTCTCTTCTTCTCTCTGCGATTTTCTTCCAGTTTTCGAGTATTCACTTTGTGTTTATCGTTTTTCAGTGTTGTTGGAAAATTGATAGATCTACATTAAATTCTAGTGTTTTACATTGTTGCTTACAGCCAATAGAAGCGAAGTAAAAACATTTAAGGATAGGAATCCTATCCGTACAGTTATTCCAAATCCAAGATCAACCGTCAACAGATCGGTTTTACAGTCATTTAAGATCAAGAAAATGCATGCATCCAATCAGTTTATCACATAATCAACCTATTATACATGCGTATTAGGGTTAACCAGTGTATTTCTTTTTGTCAACCTATGTTTAATCGTTTTTATGTTATAATAAACAAGGAGGGACAATAATAAGTTTTTAGTATACATATCCATACATTTGTTCGATTTAACTTAAACAAACAAATATATAATATATAATATATTTTTGTTCATGGTCTTTTAAGTCATTTATCCCGGTCATGAACTTATTTTGTAAATTAAAAAGTATTTTGTAAAACTATATGCAAAATATATAGTTAGTTTGTAGTATAAATTTCAAAGACAAATTCCTATTCCATTTTGGATAATTTTGCTTTGTATATAAGTCTAAAATAGAAGCATATACTTTTCTTTAAAAATGAAAATCGAGTTAGAACTTAGAAAAGAGACGTAACCAATTTGTGTGTTGGTGGACCTTGGGAAGCAACTGACCGCCACCATATCAATTCCTTTGGATTTATTTTAATTTGCCCATGTCAATTGCCAAATCCGTACGGTCAACGCACGGCAACTTAGCTTTATGGCGTATATTTTATACATACTTTTCCTAGATATAACGCACGAGCAGGTCAACCCAATATCAAATTAATGTTGTCGCTGTTTATTGTGAATGATATTAATTTCAAGAGTTATTGTTATTCTACTATATATAATATTATATATAGGGTTAACATATAATATGATGATATATATTGTATGGATGTAAGATCAAATGTCAGCTAATAGTTTTAGTTATTATTAGAAAATGCGTTATTTATTTGAACAAATTAAAATAATAATAATAAGCCGCTACTTTCAAGAAACGGATTCTAAAGGCTAAGAAGGTAATTTTACATCAACAATAAATAAGGGAACAACGGATATTTTGGTTAAATGATCACATTTCCCCTTAAACTCGCATACGGTAACAAAGAACAACGATTATTTGAAGCATGAAATTAAAAGCGATCTGTCAAGAATCGGTGGATCATGAAGAAATGATTAACGTAGTAGAATATAAACAAGTATTCGACTTGTGAGAATACAAAAGGCCGATAATTACAAACAAGTGGGTTACAAATTTCAAATGAATGGATTGCATTCTAGTACAATCGTTATTTCAGAATGTATTTTTTATGTTTTTTGATAGAATTAGGTGGTTAATTGAAGGATTAAAGTTTTTGTTACAAAGTAATCGGTGTTATCGATTTAGGGTTAAATTTGTATTGTAATTTGTGTTAATAGTTTAGTAATTCTAATAATATTCTGGTAGAATAGGTTGAGTTCCGTAAAGGATGATAATTTATTCTTATTTATTATCGATCTGGAATATGCATTCGTTCAAATGATCCTAAATATGTAGTAGCAGTTGATGATAGTGAAAGAATTCAAGCAGAATTTCGTTTATTATTGATATGAAAGGTCCATTTCCGATTTCACAAACATACTATGTGTTCCCAGTTCCTTTTCTTTTCTAATATTCTTTAGTATTAGATGATTTTGGGACAATTTTTATGGGAATGTAACACAAATTCTACAATATCATGTGCTCCGAAATCATTCCTTGCACAGACATCAAATTCACAGAATCTATGGTTCTTAATTCTAATTTTTTTTATAACTTCAAATATTATAGATGACAGTTTAATACTTTTTGGTTTCAATCATGAATAAGATTAAATGTTACATGAAATAGTTTTTATTTAGGCTCGAGCATTGTCATTTGTGTGGTGTAATGCATCGAGACATTATTGGGGAAATCTTTTGGTAAATAATGAAGGAATTATAAAAATTTGCTATTATGTGTTGGCCAATTTTTGTAATTCCGCCAGTGACAAAAAAACAACCATTGATGAGCAGAGTTGTGACTTTATAATACAGGCCACAAAAACTTTTGTTGGGTTCAACGAATTATGAAGCTTTTATGGATGTATGGAGTATTGGGTATGTATTTGCAGAGCTTCTTCTTAGTTCACCTACTCTTCAAGGAAGAAAAGAGATATTTTCACTTTCTTTTACTTTCCAAAGCCAAGCCAATTAATTTTCAGCTTCCAGTTTATGATTTTTAAGGAGGAATGGATAATATTAATTTGATGAATACATAGATGTTAATTTGGTATTTGAATAGTGTAACCCTAATCCGGATTAATATTACTTGCTTCCTAAGCAAGTAATGACGGTC